GCCTTCGCATGCAAACGTGCGAAGTTGCGTTTTGGGGCGATTTAAGACATAGCGGAACAGCCCTCATACGGAGACCAGGTATGAAACCTTCTGGGACGTGTGATCATCAAAAAGTGTAACGCTCAGGCATGACCTGGGCATTGAAGCTCGTGGATTGGAATACAGTGGCGATTGAATGTTTTAGAGTGCGGTTTTCATGGGCACGCAGCGCATCGAATCTCCATAACTGGAGATATTGGGTGATTTCTACTCTGATTGTCACCACCATGGACGCGCGGCACATCGAATATCAGGGTTTGGTGTTGTGGGGCGACTATGCTTAAATGACACTTCATGGGCGGCACGGCACATCCAATTCCTAGGATCGGTACGCTTGAAGGGCCGGCCCATCACTGTATTCCCTAAGCAGCTGTCTGTGAGTGCCTTACATCTTTCTTCAAGGCGCACGTGAGTTTTCCCAGGTATGGAATCGACGGCCCGTGGCGCGTGGTCTCCCGGAAGATATTCCGTATGCATTCTCCCGTACGGTCTTCCATGCGGTCTCCCGTATGGTCTCCCGTATGGTCTCCCGGACGGTCTCGCGCGTGGTCGGTGGTTCGTTGCCCGTGGTCTTCCGTATGATCTCCCGGATGGTCTCCCGGCTGCTCTTTCGATTGGTCTACGGTACGTTGTCCCGTGTGTTCGCCCGCATGGTTTCCCGTGCCCGTATGGTCTCCCCATTATATTGTGATCTACGGCGACGAATCACCGCCGCCCCCTTGCTCTTGGGAACGCCCATGCTGCCAAAGCTTGGGCCGAAGTTTGGCCAAACTATTGGACCATGTCTTACCCTAGCCGTTGCGGAACCCCATGTGGGAACATCGGGGAGAGGAAGAGACAAGAGGAGGAGAAGAGGGAGGGGAAGGAAGAGGAGGAGTAGGAGGAGAAAGCCTCTTGAGGCCGCTTCCTCGGAGCCTTCTGGGCGCTCTTAGGGGCCTCTGGGAGGCCTCCTGAGACCTCTTGGGGACCTCTTAGGGGCTTCTGGGGGCTTCTCTGGGTCCTCATGACCTTCGGAGGCCATCTTGGGGCCTGCTTTGGGGCAGTCTTGGAGGTCTCTGGGGTCGTCTTGGGGCCGTCTTGGGGGGCTATTGAATTGTCTTTGGGCCCTCTTGGGCCGTCTTGCGGACCTCTCGGGGGCTTTGGGGGCCATCTTGTCTTGGGGCGCTCTTGGGGGCCTGTGTGCCTGCCTTGGAGCGTCGAAAAGGGGAACACGCTACAACCGCTGAACAACCAAAGGACGATCAAGGAGCCTCCTGGAGGTCCTCCTGGGGACCTATTGGGGGCCTCTCGGGGGCCTTCTGTAGGTCTCTTGGCCTTCGGAGGCCATCTTGGACCCTCTCTAGGTCCTTCTTTGGGCGCTTTAGGTCGTTCTTTGAGCGCTTCAGGGCCGTCTTAGAGGTCTCTAGGGCTGTCTTGGGGGCCTCTTGAACTGTCTCGGGGCCTCTTGGGCCGTCTTGCGGGCCTCGTGGGGCCTCTTGGGGCGATCTTGGGGGCCTCAGTATGTGCCCGTCGTGGAGCGTCGGAAGCCTGAAAAGGTGAGAACGCTAACATCAATGAACAACCATCGGAAGATCAAGGACTTGTGCCTCCTGGAGGTCCTCCTGAGCCTCATGAAGCTTTATTGGTGACCTATTGGGAGCCTTCTGTGCTCTTGGGCCGTCTTGCGGGCATCTTGGGGGCCCCTTGGGTCACCCTGGGGCGATCGTGGAGTCTTATGGGCCCGTCTTGGAGCGTCGGAAGCCCGAGAAGGCGAGAACGCTGAAATCATTGAACGACCTCAGGACGATCATGATTTTTGCCTCCTGCAGGTCCTCTTGGAGCCCTCTTACGGCGTCTACGGGGCCCCCTGGGCCGTCTGGTGGACATCTTAGGCCGTCTTGGGGCCATCTTGGTTGGAGGCGTCTTGGGACCGTCTTGGAGGCTATCTTGGGCCATCTGGGCCGTCTTGGAGGCATCTTGGCCGTCTTGGAGGCCATCCTGGGGCCGTCTTGGGCGGGACAAGCCACGGCAGGCAGATTTTTCAGGCGGCCGGCGGGTTGGGCCGAGACCCCACTGAGAGTTCTTCAGACAAGTACCGCCACTTCTCAGCAGTTTGGGCCCGTCTTCGGGGCCTCTTGGGGCCCTCTTGGCCCGTCTTAGAGGCCCTCCTGGGTCCGAAAAAGTCACACGCACGCGACAAGCCCCAGGAGGCACGCGGCAAGCCCCGAGAGAATTGAGAGTTACGGGTCTGGGCCCCTAAATGAATCCTCAGGATTGAGGACTGAGGCTCAAGATCGAGCAAGGAACCTGGGGACACTCAACTTCGTGCCACAGGGGCAGGGTGGCGGATGTGTATTATTTGAATTAAGTATGTTGTTTAGGGCGTTTTCCCGCCAGTGCGGGATTCATGACCTTGCGCTATGTCCTAACCCGCCTGTGTTGCCGGGTCCTCGTTTTCACTCCGCAGCGCCGCGCGTCAGCTCCTTCCTCCTCCTCCTCCTCCCCCTTCTCCGCCATCTGCCAGTTGCTTCTGCTACGTTGACTGCTGCACGCTGCTGCTCCTGCTGTTGCCTCCGGTTGCTGATGCTGCGCGCTGCTTGCCTCTGCTGCTGTTGATGCCCAATTGGGGCGTCGGCGTTGTTGTATCGTCTCCGCGCTTCTTTCGGCACACCGCTCAAACGGATGGTGCCCACCGGACCTCCACCAAAGGTTTTCGTGGGGGGTATTTTTAAAGCGTCCCCGCGCCCATGTCGGCATACCTCTCACATAGATCGTGTCCGAAAGAAGGCTCGGCCCTCGTGGTGAGTGTTCTTGAGGGGTCATCTCGGCACACCCATTTACACGGATCGTGCCCCGTAGGGAGCCCCATGCACAATATTCATGGGGGTGTGCTTGCAGCGTCTCCGCGCAGATCTCTGCACCCACGTTTTCAAGGGAACTGCCTCAATTGGGGGGCTTCATTTGCGCACCCAATGGGAATGTTTTTGTAGCACTTCCGCGCCAATGTCTGCCCCCCCTCATCCGAAAGAGCGTGTTCTACCGCTGCTGGCGGAAAGGCCGGGGGGGTCACTGGAGGTTTTCAACCCGTCCCCCCCACCCCCCCTCGTCCGTCACGAAAAGGGGGGGTGGGCCACTACCAGTTCGAACACCCCCCCACCCTCCTCGCTGGCAAACGACTCCCCCTCCTCCCCCACTCCAGATGGGGATTGTGGTGGGGACAGAGGTTGCGACGGTGGTGGGGATGGTGGTGGGGAGTGGGGGCAGTGGGACAGTGGTGGGGACAATGGGGACAGTGAGGAGAGTGGGAAGGTGGTGGGGACAGTGGCGGGGACAGTGCGACAGTGGTGGGGGCACTGGTGGGGACAGTGAGGACAATGGTGGGAAGAGTGGGGACAGTGGGACAGTGGTGGGGACAATCGGGACAGTGGGACAGTGGTGGGGACGGTGGTGGTGGGGACAGTTGCGAGGGGGCAGTGGAACAGTGGTGGGAACAGTGGGGACAGTGGGACAGTGGTGGGGACGGTACTGGTGGGGACAGTGGTGAGCGCGGTGGTGAGGACGGTGGTGGGACAATGGGACCATGGTGCAGTGGGGAGAGTGGTGGGGACAGTTTGGACAGTGGGACAATGGCGGGACAGTGGGGAAGGTGGGACAGCACAGTGGGACAGCGGTGAGGACAGTGGGGATAGTGGGACAGTGGTGGGGACAGTGGGACAGTGGTGGGGACAGTGGGGAGAGTGGGACAGTGGTGAGGACAGTGGTGGGGACAGTGGGGACAGTGAGACACTGGTGGGGAAACTGGTGAGGACAGTGGGAACAATGGTGGGAGCAGTGGGGACAGTGGGGACAGTGGTGGCGACAGTGGGGACAGTGGGACAGTGGTGAGGACGGTGGTGGTGGGGACAGTGGTGTGGGGACAGTTGGAAAATGGTGAGGACAGTGGGGACAGTGGGACAGCGGTGACGAGGTGGTGATAGTGGGACAGTGGGACAGTGGTGGAAACAGTGGGACAGCTCAGTGGGACAGCGGCGGGGACAGTGGGGACAGTGGGACAGTGGTGGGGAGAGTGGGGACAGCGGGACAGTGGTGGAGAGAGTGGGGACAGTGGGACAGTGGTGGGGACGGCGGGGACAGTGAGAAGACACTGGTGGGTGCACTGGTGGGGACAGTGTTGGGAACAGTGGGGACAGTGGGACAGTGGTGTGGACGGGGCGGTGGTGAGGACGGTGGTAGGGACCCAGGAGTCGCTTGCTGGCGGCGAGTTGGGGGGGGGTCGAACCGGTAGTGACTCCCCCCAGTTTTCTGGAGGGGGGGTGTTTGGGGGGTTCGAGCCGGCAGTGACCCCCCTGGTTTTCCAGAAAGGGGGGTGGGGCAGGGGAGGGGGGGAGGGTTTTACCGGGGGAAGGGGTTGGGGGGGGAGGGGGGGACCCCGGATTCTGGAGGAAGAGGGGGGGAATTTCCCATAGTAAAGCGGCGGTGGATCATGCCCTCTCCCTCATCCGGATCATACCCTGTAGGAAACTCTACCTGCGGCCACAGCGGGGTTCTCGAAGCTTCTCCACGTCCATCTCGACACACTCCTCACACGGATCGTGCTCCATCGGGGGTTCCACTTACGGCCCCAGTGGGGGCGTTTTTGAAGCGGCTCCGCGCCCATTTGCGATGGTGTTCACATGCGGTCCTCAGAAGATTTCTCGCATCCTTCATCATGTGAACCGTGACCCATAAGGATCCCAGCGCGCCCCGCAGACCCTTCCCTGCCCTGGATTTCATCCCTCCCGCGGCGCGCAGTATATTGAGGAGAAGGCCCCGCGCCGCGCTGCACACAGCTGCATAAGGCTGGGCCCTTCGCAAGGCAAAGTTTTCGTGTGTAGTCGAGGTCTTTAGTGTGGGGCATTGCTTGCGCGCGTGGGCAGACAGCATGGACATGTGGAGCTGCGACTCCGCATCATCTCATCATCCATCCTTTGATCTTGCCCCAGTTGTCCGACTCTCTGAGCAGCGCGCAGAGCGTCTACAAGAAGGCGCGCCACATGCGTTGGGTGTTTGCTTTAAGGTTGTGAGCTGCAATGAAGATGTAGTACATTATTTGTTTCATGCGTTTTTCGTTGCAATCACCGTCGACCCGCACATAACATGACGGAACGCACGTTAGTGCTACGCAAATGCGTTTGTAGCAAGTTGCAAGTTGCCGGCCAGGTGTGCTCCAAACCATTCGCCGATGAATCAGCAAAGACATGCAATTTGTAAGGCATGTTTTGACGTCATGCCTCATTGTTTTCTGTAATAGTTCTTTGTTTCTGGTCTCCAGCACCTCTCTCGACAGCCAGAGTCAGAGACTTCTCCTTCTCCTCGGTTCCAGCGCGACCCGCTGGACGGGATTCGCTGCCCTGGGTCCAGGTTTTTGTTGCAGGCACCCTCCAGAGGGCGCTTACCACTAGAGGCACTTGTCACTTGTCATGGTGGATTGGATGATGATGGGATGCATAGGGACCAGAAGAATGGCCGGGAGGCGGATGTGTGATCATGGGCGGAGGAAGAGTAGTTGTAGGAAGAGGAGGAACGCATGTATCGTTTTTGGCCAGGGGTGGAAATTGCATATAAGTCCACCAGCCCAATTAGTTTTGGGTCGAACTGTGGAGGGTGATCTGTTGGAACTTGAGGGCGGTCCGTCGGACTGTTGTGCAGGACCGGAAATTGGTTCGTTTGGGATGAGGTTGTCGATCCGCGGGGGGGTGGAGCGGTGATTAGGGCGTCAGTTCATGAGTCGTTGAGCCGTCCGACGATCATCGGTTGCAGCCGTGGAGTATTAGTAGGTCACGCTTGCTGAAATGAGTCCTGGCAGCGTTGCCTGTTCTGGCCGCCGAAAGATTCCCAGAGCCATCCAGCAGCAGTAACAGCAGAGCCAGCAGCAGCCAGGAGCAGCCAGCCGCAGCTGGAAGCAGCTGCAAGCAGAACCAGCATACAGTAGCAGCAAGGCACAGAACGCAGCAGTGGCAATAAGCAGTAGCAGCGAGCAGCTTTCATGCTCTACGGGTATACGTCTGCATCTGTGGTTGTCGTGGTGTCCAAGTCCCTGGGCCTTTAGCTGAAGGAACCTGCGTCACCAAGCTTGGACGCGGCTCGGGAAGTTGGTCAGCATGGTACCTGGAAGGGATACATTGGCTTCCGAATGGGAAAACAAACGCGAAGTCTGCCTCTCAGTGTTGTACAGGTCGACCTCTCTTGTTTGTTGATAGGGATGGCGTCGGGGTCGACTGACAGGTTAGGGGGTCGCAGAAGGTGCGTCACCCCGGTCCTGACCTCCCCATCGGCCTTCTGGTGCGCGTCGTCGCAAGCTTGGCGCACCCAGCGATTATGGCAGCGCAGCGCAGCCAGCGGGGCATCAAGAAGTACACTCTCCAGCAGGGATCCTGCTTCCTCCCTCTTCCTCTCGCCATTTTCCCCCATCCGACCCCCTACCTACCACGCTCCTGAGTGTCGCCCTCCCCTACTTCTGAAGCATCAGGGTGGCATCATGACAGAGAAGTTGGCGTTGGTGTCGTGTGGGTGCATCTCCATATATCGTTACTGGCTGCCGACGGCGCCTTTGCATATCACAGTTCATCGTTGTTCCCTCTGCGACCCACGCGGAAGGATAAAGCGAAACTTCTGAAACCGATCGTGGCGGAGAGGCAGGCGCAGGCGGAGGAGATCCTGACGAAACTCGACGCGGACAGCTGGGAGTCTGACGAGCAGTTTTTGTTGGGGGGTTCTTCTGGTATCGTTTTGGGGCAGCGGCACCAGCTGTGCACGAACGGGCCAACATACAAGGGATGGCTACAGGTAAGCCGAATGAGTTCTCGAAAAACACGAACGAGAGGCTCAATGGCTGCTGAATGGATATTGAAGGGAAGTTGGAAGGAAAGACGCAGAACAAGTGACATTGTGCTAACGTGAAGGTGTTTGGGCGGTACTAGAGCAATAATTTAGTCTGCACGGGACGTCTAAGGTCAAGTTGACAGCGTGTGTGTGTAGAAGGAAGCAGGTTGTGCGTACATTCGGTATACACACGTAAATAGTCAGGAACACTCCGTATGCATGTGCAGCGGGCGGCGTTGCATATGAAGATATATACCCATACATGTATATGTATACTTACATCTCTATAATGCAGTATGTGCATGGAAGAAGCCCACGGCGAATCACCGCCGCCACCCTGCTTTTCGGAAACGCCGACGTAGCCAAGATTTGGGGCCATTGCCTGGCCAAGCTATTTGACAATGTGTTCTCCCGGCCGTTGTGGAAACCCTTTGGGAGGGACGTTTGGGGGAGGAAGCGAGACGGTGATGACGATGATGATGATGATGATGATGATGATGATGATGATGATGCTGATGATGGTGATGATAATGATGCTGAGGATGATGATGATATGATGATGACGATGACGATGATGGTGATAACTCTGATTATGCTGGTGATGATGGTTATGATGATGCGGATGATGATGATGATGATGCTGATGCTGACTATGACGACGATGATGATGATATGAATGCTGATGCTGATGATGTTGACGCTGATGCTGATGGTGATGATGATGCTGCTGGTGATGATGGTGATGATGATGGTCGTGGTGGTGGTGACGACGACGACGATGATAATGCCGATGATGATGATGAGGGTGGAGATGGGGATGAGGATGATGATGCTGGTGTTGGTGATGCTGATGATGCCGATGATGATGCTGCTGATGAGGATGACGCTGCTACTGCTGCTCCTGCTGATGATGATGCTGATGATGATGAGGATGATGATGCTAATTGGTGAGGATGGTGAGGATGATGACGATGATGGTGATGCTTATGATGCTGATTGTGATGCTGGTTGTGATGATGATGCTGATGATGATGATCAGGATGCCGATGATGATGCTGATGTCGATGAGGACGACTATGATGATGCGACTGATGATGATGTTGTTAATGCTGATGCTGATGATGTTGACGCTGATGCTGATGGTGATGATGTTGGTGCTGCTGATGATGTTGATGCTGATGATGATGGTGGTGATGATGGTGGTGGTGACGACGACCACGATGATAATGTTGCTGATGCTGATGATGCTGATGCTGAGGATGAGGAGGATGATTCATACCATGGTGCTGATGATGGTGATGATGAGGATGCTGCTGCTGCTGCTGCTGATGATGATGATGATGCTGCTGATGCTGATGATCATGAATATGATGATGATGATGATGATGATGATGATGATGATGATGATGATGATGATGATGATGATGATGATGATGCTGATGATGATGATGATGATGATGATGATGATGATGATGATGGTGATGGTGATGATGATGGTGGTGATGATGTTGATGAGGATGACGCTGCTGCTGCTGCTGCTGCTGCGCCTGAGGATGAGGATGATGAGGAGGTGGAGGAGGAGGAGGAGGAGGAAAGGGAGGAGGAGGAGGAGGAGGAGGAGGAGGAGGAGGAGGAGGGGGAAGACGAGAAGGAGGACGAGAAGGGGGAGTCCCTCTCGGGGCTTCCCTGGGGGGCCTCTTGGGGTCCTCCTGGGGTCTCTTGTGGGCCTCTGGGGCCGTCTTTGGGGTCTCTTGGTCCGTCTTTGGGCCCCCTTGGTCCGTCTTGGGGCACTCCTGTAGGCCTCTTTGACCGCCCTTGGGCTCTTTTGCAGGCCTCTGGGGCAGTCTTGGGCTTTCGGAGGCTAACATCGGCTGGAAGGTCACCTTTTTCTAATTCTTCCGAAGCTCATACATCCTGGCTGAGTCGGATCCTTCTGGAGAGCCTTGGAGCCCTCGTGAGCTGAATCGGGGACCTCTCGAGCCGTCTCGGCACATCTGGGGCCGTCTTGGAGGCATATTGGACCAGCTTGAACGCATCCTGAGCTCATCTCGGATAAGATTGGTACTGTCGTGGCCGTCTTAGAGAGGCGTCGTGGGACCGCGTTGGATGCCATGTCGGGCCATCTGGGCTATCTTGGAGCCCATCTTGGAACCATCTTGAGCAGGAACGCCGATGGGAGATACCTTTGAGGTGGTTTCCGAGTGGCCTGCGTATTGGGTGGTAGACCATTGGACTTGTCCCAGCCATCCTGTGGTGTGGGGTCCTCGCTTTTAAGAGACAGCGCCCCGCGTTCCTTCCTCATCCCCTCTCATATCCTCTCATTTCCTCTCCTCTCTCCTCTCTCCTCCTCCTCCTCCTCCTCCTCCTCCTCCTCCTCCTCCTCTTCCTCCTCCTCCTCCTCCTCCTCCTCCTCCTCCTCCTCCTCCTCCCTTTCCTCCTCTTCCCCCTCCCCCCATCCCTGCCTCTTGCTCTCCGAGTGCTAACCAGTTCGGCACACCCCTCACACGTTTTCGTTACCCCATAGGGAGCTCCACCGAAGGTCCCAGTGGCGTCGCCCGCATGCGTCCGACCCACTCATTTCGGCACACCCCTCACCAGGATCGTGGCCCCCTAGGGAGCTCCACCGAAGGTCCCAGGGGCGCCGCCCGCATGCGTCCGACTAACCCATTCCAGCACACCCCTCACGAGGATCGTGGCCCCGTAGGGAGCTGTACCGGAGGGAGGACCTATGGGGCGCCGCTCGCATGCGTCCGACCCACACATTCCAGCACCCCTCACGAGGATCGTGGCCCCATAGGGAGCTCCGCCGAGGGTCCCAGGGGCGCCGCCTGCATGCGTCCGACCCACCCATTTCGGCACACCCCTCACCAGGATCGTGGCCCCATCGGGGGCTCCACCGACGGTCCCAGTGGCGCAGCCCGCATGCGTCCGACCCGCCCATTCCAGCAAACCCCAGCACGGGCATCGTGGTGGCCCCATAGGGAGCTCCCCAGGGGCGCCGCCAGCATGCGTCCGACCCACCCATTTCGGCACACCGCTCACCAGGATCGTGGCCCCATGAGGGGCTCCACCGAAGGTCCCCGGGGTGCAGCCCGCATGCGTCCGACCCACCCATTCCAGCAAACCCCAGCACGAGCATCGTGGCCCCATAGGGAGCTCCACCGAAGGTGCCAGTGGCGTCGCCCGCATGCGTCCGACCTACCAATTTCGGCACACCCCTCATCAAGATCGTGGCCCCATAGGGAGCTTCACCCCAGTGGCGCAGCCCGCATGCGTCCGACCCACCCATTCCAGCAAACCTCAGCACGGACATCCTGGCCCCATCGGGGGCTCCACCGAAGGTCCCAGGGGCGCCGCCCGCATGCGTCCCCGTCACCTATGCCGACACACCCCTCATGCATTTCGTGGCCCGATATGGAGTCCCACCCAAGGTCCCAGTTGCGCCGCCCACATGCGTCCCCGCCACGCATGTCGGCACACCCCTCGCGCGCTTCGCGGCCCCATGCGAAGTTCCACCCTAGGTCCCAGTGGCGCCGCCCGCATGCGTCCCCGCGACACATGCTTGCACACCCCTCACATGTTTCGTGGCCCCATGGGGGGCTCCACCGAAGGTCCTAGTGGCGCCTCCCACGTGCGTCCCCGCCACCCATCTCGGCACATCCCTTACATGCTTCGTGGCCCCATGGGGAGCTCCAGTGACGATGATATTGACACTTGCGGTGCTCACAACTGTATATGGTTGGGTCTTTCGCCAGGCTAACTTTGGAATGGCAAGAATAATCAAGCCTCGACTCGCCAAGCACCCCTTGCAAGCAAAAAGGGGGCGGCGGATCCAAGACGCCTGCGGCCAACCACCGCCGCCTCCTGACTTGCGAACGCGCCCATGTGGACAAACGTCGGGCGAACACCTGGCCAAGCTATTTGACTGTGTGTTGCATCAGCCGTTGTGGAAACCTTTTGGAGAGAACGAGAGAGAGAGAGAGAGGGACGCATCAACGATTGCCAAAATAATAAACCCTCCCCTTAAGTTCTTTCTTCATATTCCCCTACAAGAAACTCCTGACATTCCGCGTATCCCCACCAGCTCATTCAAAACCGACGCCTAGACGGTTTTGAACGAACATGTAATCGTAGGACCAACATGGGAGACAGTCGCACCCCACGAGGGGTACGCCAAGATGGGGAAGAAGGAGGAGGAGGAGAAGGAGGAGTAGGAGGAAGAGGAGGAGGAGGAGGAGGAGGAGGAGGAGGAGGAGGGAGAAGAGGAGGAAGAGGAGGAGAAGGAGGAGGAGGACGAGGAGGAGGAGGCGGGCGAGGAGGAGGAGGAAGGAGGAGGAGAACGTGGAAACGGACGGGCTGGAGGAGGAGGAGGAGGAGGAGGAAACAGGAGGAGAACGCGGAAAAGTAGGATGAGGAGTGGGTGGGGGAGGGGGGAGGAGGCAGGAGGGAGGAGGAGAAAGCGGACGAGGAGGATGAGAAGGAGGAGGAGGGGGAGGAGGAGGAGGAAGAGGAGGAGGAGACGGATGGGGAGGAGGCGGAGGAGGAGGAGGAAACGAGTGAACAGAAGAGCCAGAAGCTTCTCGATTGCCTTTCTGAGTCTCCTGGGATGTCGCTTGGAAGCTTTTGGATGCCTCTCGGGACGTCTGGGGGAGGGGGGGCATCTTGATAAGAGGGGAGCTTCGATTCGCCTTGCCCTTCCACGTAGAGTGGCTACAATCGCCTCTTGGGGCGCTCTTGCGGCGCTCTGGGAGCGCTTTGGACGCTCTTGGTGCCGTCTTGGGGCTTTTCTGGACCCCTCTTGGGGCCCTCTTGGGCCACCTTGGAGCCATCTTGAGGCCTCGGATGCCATCGGA